GCAAACCAAAAGTCAACCCAAGAGCAAGGGCTACTGCTGAGATTGACGTGATTCCACCTGAAGTCTTTGCCGTTCGTGGTGGCTTTCTTCGTCCGAAAGCAAAAAATGAGAACCTGCTTCATCGACGAAATGTGATTGAAACGAAGAAGGACGAAAGGCCCATCGTGCCCCGACGAATAGACAGTGTACTATCTCGAAAGGCCCTTTCGTCTCATGTTAACAAACGACGTGGGACAGTGAATGATGGTGTTGCTGATACTGAAGATATGAATGAAGAACACAAAACTTCAGCTAAGTTTGAGAGCGACCATCAGAATGATAGTATTCTTCCACTGAAGAAGGTCGAAGTCCCATCTCTCCGTGCTCGGATGACTCGAGACATGTCGGAAATCACTCTGAATGCTTCCCAACATCCCGAACAAACAGAAGACATTGTTTTGAGCCCACTTCACAAAAACAAAGCAAAGAAAAGTGTAATCTCGCCACAAAGAAAACTCATTCCTTCAGTATTATGCCAAATGTATCCTGACTTTGAACCAAGCGAAAGCGGTGTCGGAGGCAGGCCATATGTGTCATTCCAGGCGTCGGGTGACGAATCAGTGTTGTCGTCACTCGACTATGATGGTTTTGAGGAAGACTCCTATGGGGACCATGCCGATGTCAATGTTTCTATGAGGTCGCAGTTATCACACCTATCGGCAAGAACTCCTACACTGTCCCCACTTGCGGAAGAAGAGGATTCCGAACAGGAGTCTGGTGGCGCTTTTTCAAAAAATAAACGCCCCTCCGTTGCCTTCTTTCCGTGGCCAAAGCGTCAAATCTCCTCAACACCAGCAGTCGCTGAGAAGACCATGGATGGAGCATCGAAGAAGCCGCGAGGAACGACATTTCGCATGCCGACTTTCAAGAAGATTTCCATACGAGGAAGGTTTAGTACGATGAAGCTACGAGATGGTACAGTAGTAGGTAGAGCCTAGAACTCTTGCAACGAGCAATACCCGCTACATTGGTGCTCTCTCCTGCAGAACTACAGCCTAGAACACGTTGATATGTGTATGTATATTTACATTTAGAATATAGTATCTGGTGTCATCGACAATTTCCACTGTTTTTAGAACACACCGACAGCTTATTAGGAATTAAGTCTAGGCTCGAGTATCATTTTTCCAGTATAAAAATCCTTACCATACCCTAGTATTTTACTCATTCCGTGAGGACTAATGCCCGCTACGATACATTACTCTTTCCTGTAGATTAAAACTCATCCGTTCAAAGAATTCCCTCCAACAAACTGGCTGGTCACGGATGACTTCATTGGGCAAGATACAATGCGAATGACCAAGACACTTTCCTCTAAGTAAATAAACCGTTGGGTTCCGAATGGTGTTTTGCTCACCACATTTTCCATGGGTATTTTTGCGAAACCAAACGTGTCTTGCGTTTCTTCAATCTTGCCCGTCACATCATCGTCACTTATTGAAACGAAAGAATGACAAGTTGTACACAGATATATGCCCACTTCATAATTTTTACAGCTTAATTGTCCCATTCATCCTTGTTTCAGATGCCAGCCTTGATGTGCCCCATGAAGTTACGGATAAGAAGAAGGTCAGGAAACAACAACAACAACAAGACCACGACGAAGAAGAAGAATGAGTCGTCATCTTCGAAGCATGATGATGAAGATGATGATGTGAAAGAATGCGAGCGACATAGTTCATTCAGACCAAACCAACATTCGTCTATCACGCTTGCTCAAGATGATGTAGTAATTATTGCTACAAAGAAGTCAAAGAAGCAACTCATTGGATTGATACTGGAAAGGAAGCAGCAAGAAGAAGATCCAAATAATTGTCCCATCGTCGTTCGAAAGATAATGGAAGGATCACTGTTCGCCAAGACCAATCTCATTCCCGATATGGAAATACGAGTCATCAATGGAATCGATTGCTCCAAGCTGAAGGCCATTGCGGAAGCATATAGTATTATGACAGAAGCCGAACGAACTGTAACAATTGTTGCAAGAGGAGAAACGAAGAAGGCAGTCGAGGAAAATAAGGACCAGCTTCTTACGCCAATTGTTAGACCACCAACGCGACGGTCAGCCCCAGCACATATGTGGCTCGAGATGGTTGACAATATGAATCATAAGGATATACGACTATTTGCATCACAAGAACCCAACGACGAAGAGTTGCTGCTATTGTCACCGCGGAGGGAAGAAGCAAAAGATGAGGACATTCTAGAAGCACCTCCGAGACCATCCTTCAAAACTACCAGCCGGCCGAGACGATTGCCAAGTAATTTGGAAATGGACAATAAGATATCCTCTCACAGTACCATGTCTGAGATTACTCTCAATCCTTCCCAACATCCAGCCCCGACGCCCGATATCGTGATCACGAGACCCATTGGATCCAAGAATAAGAGTTCTGTAAAGTCGGTGTTGGCTGCATTGTACCCAGACTATGGTGATAGTGATGACAATCAAAATGGCAGCAGCATTGAGAGTTCTTCATCTTCGTGTCATTCCACCACCAAAGATATCTCTTTCGCATCAACGTCGTTGGTAAGCAAGGAATCTCCACCCCGTCGATTGCAACGCGGGGCTGTTGGTGACCTTGTTCCTCTGCCACCACCTCTCTTGAACGATAACTCGGCCGGGCCATTATTCCGCGGCGCCGGTCCCATGGAATCCCATTCATTGTACGCTCCGTCGATCCCTCGGGTGGGAGCTCGCGATGCCATTTGATAAAAGACCACGCACATAAAAATCAATCTGAATTACATTTTTTCCGATACGTATTCAATCATTCTACAGTAGATCTATCTTACATTCTATTCTCATCTGACATTCATTCATCGTAATCATCATACCCTAGCTTGAGCAAATCGTTGTCGGAAGGATCGTATCCGCTGCCGCACTGGAACCTTTTGTGGAACATTGTCTTGTTGTTGTCTTGTCAAAGTATCATGAGCATCAGCATCATCATTATCTTCATTGGTCCTACTGCTTGTTGTTTCTACAGTGCGCGACAACCAAGCCTCTCGCACAGCCTTTAATGCATCGACGGCGTCCCGTTCCACCACCTTGCGCATCGAACGAGAACCTTTCTGTTCCACCTTTTCCTTTGGCATTGGCAAAATACCGAGAAATCTTTCCGGGAACTGGAGATGAGTTGCAAATTGGACCGTCATTTGAAGCTTCATCATGAT